ATGCCCAGCTCTAGCTCAGTTAGCTTTTTATTAGTGTCTTCTGTAAATTCACTGATTATTTTGTTTATTAAATTCATTATCTGATTAGTTATATCATCTTTGAGCTTGCTGAGCCCCTTATTGATCTGGGGTGTGTGTGTTTGTTTTTTTGTTTTTTTTTTTTTTGTCCCTTTTTATCATTTTATATAATTCAGCTGTTTGGCTTTTGAGTCCCTCCCCACTAATGTTTCATGGATCACTTTTGGGGAGTTTTGGGCAGCATTTTGTTGCCTTGTCTTCTGATATTTCTAACTGTGTATGGGGGGTGCTTGTTGAGGTTTGAGGGTCAAGTATAGTGGAAAGATTTTTTGATAGTATGGAGAGGTCTTTAGGGAGTGTCTGCTTTTCAGTAATGCACTCTGGACATGGCCTCTGCCTCTGTCCCAAGATCTAATTTCTTGCTTCAATTTGGGATGGAGGATCCAGCATAATTGACCCAGCACACAGTTCTCTAAAAATGAACTGCAGTATCTTTAACAACACAAAGACAAACCAGATATTGCTATACAGTAAAAACCAATTAATAGGAACAACTTTGCCACCCTGACGATAGCAACAATAGGAAAGTCAAAGACAAACTGGATACTGGGCCTGGGATTTAGCTCAGTGGTGCCATCACCTCCCTCGCAAGCACAAGATCCAGAATTCAATCCCTTATACAAAAAAAAAAACAACCTAGATATTAATATAAGAACCTATAAAAGCTACCACTGTACCAACCTTAACCATAGAACAGAGATATATAATTATAACATAATAAAAAGACAAACCAAAACTTATATACAATAAATATCTACCAAACACAATGACTACAATACCATTAACAATAGAAGAGAGTTGAACAATAATAGCATAGAGTCAACTAAATGTCTAAAGATTAATAAAACTTAAGTGTAATACTAATAAAGATAAGGGTGGGGGAAATGAAAGAAGTAACATTTGAAATTTATTTGTTTTCCTCATTGAGTTTATTGGTACTTTTTAGGTATACAGTACAGTTCCATTCATCATTGGGATCTTGTACCTTTACATGACAGGTCTTGGTTCTCATTTTTTCCCCTTGTCCCTGCCCTCCTTTCACCCCTTCCTCCCTTCCCTGTTTAGAAATACTTTATTTCCATTTTTTCATTTAACATTTGAAATTTAAAAGAAAGGAAGATGAGAAGGAAGAGAGAAAGTGAGCTCATATTAAGGAGTAAAATGAAAATGAATAGAATTAGATCAAAGTAGCAGAAAAGAACAAACATGAAAAAATAGAAAGCAAAAAAAGAAAAAAACAAACTCCCCAAAACCAGTGAACAAGGAGGAGAAAAGGAAGAAGAAACCAAAATGAGTTCAATGTGTTTGAATGAGTGGTTTCTTTCCAGGGTCTACAATATTGGAATCTACTAAATACCGGAGAGATAGTGAGTCACAGCTAAGACCTATTTTCTTTCAACACTCACAGTTCTATGTGTGAATGCTGAATCCTGCCCGCCTTTCCCACTGGGCATGGTCAATCAATGGCTTCCTTTCTAGGGCTATAGTCACTCCAGCAACTCGCTGCTTCATATTCCTGTGTGTGCCGCAATTCACAAGTTCTTCTGCCTAGCTTTACGTCCTGTGGGATTTTGAGGTGTCCCACGTTATTCCAGCGGTCCCTCTGTCCACCCAAGGTTATAGCCCATGCTGAGACATAGCCTTGCTTTCATTGGTAGATGGAAAAAGCAAACAGATTATCAAGCTCTGTGTTGAATGTAGACATCAGGGCAGGGACTCAAGCAGAACACTAGACTTACTGCCAGCACTTTCAAAACAAGCCCCTTCTGAAAACTACACATCACTGTACTGATTTTTTACCATAGAGGGAGGAGCCCCAGTGTCCTTCCAGGCCTGCGTTTAAACTTCTCAAGGGTCTATGTCTAGCCAATAGCCTCCCACAACTCTCTCTTGTAGACATCTCTTACCCAATCACTATGGTAGGGTGACACCAGAAACCCTAACATGTAGTTGTTCTGTAGTTATTCTGCAGCTTAATCTTAAACAATTAGCCCCTTCCCAAAATGGCTCCTAATGGGCCAATGATGTAGCTCAGTGGTGCCCGGTCTACCTGGAAAGTGCAAGGTCCTGAGTTCAATCCCCAGTACTGGAAAAAAAAAAAATGACTCCTGATTAAATCCTCTCAGATATGACAGGTGCTACACTGGAGTCACTTTCAGAGTAAAACCCACAATGCTTTTACCATTTCCAACAGTGATGGGGTTTTCTTGGGGCTAGTGCTGGCAACCTAGTCCACTTTTTTTCCCTGGAGCTGCCGGCCCTCTCTGGTCTCACCTTGTGTCAGCAGTCACATTCCCCTCTTCTTGGAGCCAGGGTCAACTTTCCAGACTGGTTTGTTCCTTTCTCCGCATTGTGCTCCATTTCTCCAGCTTTTCTTTAGTTTCTAGTTTTCTTGTCAGCTCCTCCTGGTTCCTGGGGATGCACTTCTTTTTTTCTCTTCACTAGGTTGTTGTTTTCCAGGTGTCTCCATTTTCCAGGTCCCAGGGAGGATGTATTCTGCTGTGAGTCTCTCCATTTTCCTGGTTTTGAATTAGGTAATTATGTAACAGAACAGATGACCTCCACAACCCTTGTTAGGGCAGAGATTTTGTGCTTCTAAACAAAGTTTGAAGACAACATGTGCCAGAAAGAACCAACGCAGGACTTAGGAAGATATTTTGGAGGTGACTCCTGGATGACCTTTCATCCTGTGTCACAGCAGATATTCTTTCTGACCTTCCTAAGTCATTCTATAGGACCCTTGCCCAAAACAGGTGCTTGCTTTGGGACTTCACTTGTCTGAGGCAAAAGATGGCTCCAATTTTGAGGTCTGAACTTTCTAGAAACTTTATCAGAAACAACCACTGATTTCTTAGAGAATTTTGAGTCCTGGGACTCATATAGGCAGCCATTTTGTTCTAAGGCTCCTTGAAATTCTCATTATGAAGAATGCCTAACTATTGCATATGAGACCACTCAATACAAAGGGGCAAAGAAAAGCTTTCTAGGGCGATGAAAATGCCTAAATCTTGGTTGGGTGTGTGAATAAATACATTTGTCAAAATTCACTGAAGTGCATGCTTAAGATCCTTACATTTCACATTGCGTACTTTTTACTTTTCAAAAAAAAATTACTCAGCTCCTTAAAACAATAGTGACAACACATTTTTAAATGTAGGTCTTATTTTCCAGATATGGTGAGGCCAAGAGATCACACTGAAAATATAGTATGTTGTCCCCAGTTCCAAGAGAAGGGGTAGGTCAGGCCATGCAAGAGGCAGAACAGGGATGGGTATGGTCAGGAATCTTTATTGTGGTTTTTGTAGTAGGAAGGCAGGGCAAATAGGCTAAGCAGATTTAGGATAGACTAGTTTGGATATTGTAGTAGGCTCTAGGATATCAAGGTGATTATGGCAGGGGATTAGTTATCCAGGCATGTCACTGCTCAATAAAGGAAGTAATTAGAGGTTAGGGACTCTGCATTTGTTGGTTGGTTGGTTGGTTGGCTTGGATATGACAAGTACTTTCACTGGGATGTCACTTACTATCTCTAGGAATTGGCTTGCCATAGGAGGGGTAGTCAAATAGGCCCAGGTGTTCAAACATAAAACAAAAAAACATACTTGAGATGACTATTCACCAGTGTGGTCAAATCTGATTGTCTTCCACAGTAACACTGACAGGTAGGTTGGGAAGACCACCAGGCCACATTATTAAAGCTTACCAGCACACTCCCATGTGAAAACTAAGTATAAAGGCAGTGAATCCACCAGGTCCTTCCTTCTTTTACATGTCAGTGAGAACTCTTACAGTTACAAGTATAAGAACCCTACCTCAAACCATGTTAGGAAGGAAGGAAGGAAGGGAGGAGTAGAGAGGGAGGAAGGGGTAGCAGGGAGGGAAAAGAGTTAGCTCATACAAGAATTAGCTAACTCCAGGACCAGTTCAATGCAGAGCTCAGAAAATACAATCTGGTGCCCATCAACAGAAAAATGCATAAAGAAAAAGTGGCATCCATACACAATGGAATATTATTCAGCCATAAAGGGGAATTAAATCATGTCATTTGCAAGAAAATGTGTGGAATTAGAGATCTAATGCTAAGTGAAATAAGTCAGACACAGAACATTAAATGTTGCATGGTTTCTCTTGTATGAGGAGTGTAGAAGTAATAAATAAGTAAAATAAAGGAGAGATGGTAGGAAATAATGCAGATTTTTAGCAGATGGAGACGGGGTCTGGGGAGGAAAAAGGTAAGGAAGAGGAGGATAAAGGGATCAGAAATGATTAAGATATGTTACACACATGTACTAGTTCTTCAAAATTAATATCACTATGATGTATTACAAATATACACAATAAAAGAAAATCTCATCTGGGCAGCACTTGACTAAATCTCTCACCTCTGAGACTCCTC